TTGTTTGGGGGAAGCAGACTGACACACAGGAGCGTTCTTGGGTGCCTAAAGAAGCTAGGCCTGCCTTGGTTATTATCAGGGGATCATTAGGTAAGATAGACGTGTATGGACTGTTGTTTTAAAATCTTTTTTCTCTAAATGTTTTGTTTTTACTGTTAACTAAACAATAATTTGGCTTAAAGAAGGTTGTCAATACTATATACATCACAGGTCACAGACTCCTGAATGGAAGAATGGTCAATGTCCAAATGCAATTGGACCTGCTGGGTACACAGCTGATGCACAGGGTGCTGTAACCTAGGACCTGGTCTAATACTGGGAGAATTGCAGAATTCCACCCTGGAGAGATAAAGATACAAGGCCTGATAGCTAGGGGGTACGCTTGGAGAAACCCGAAAGGAGTCAGAGATGCAACTGTGACTATGACAACAGTTTAAAATAACTCAGTTCCATCTACAAGATTATGACCAACTGTGTTAATTGAATTCCATGACATGGTAAATTTGTAATGTAGACATCATCATGGGGACAGACTCACTTTGAATTGGGTAATTCTGATTTCTCCTCCCTTCCCCATGGTATCTACAGCTAAAAGTAAATAGGAATGTATCCTGCTGGGACCGGGGTCCCAGTGGGGGCTATCTGTGGTCGATCAAATAGGGTGAACTGCAAAGAATGGGGTAAACAATCCCCCAAAAGCTGGTGGATGTTCCAATACTTAAATTTACCAAGCGAGCATAAAACAGCTTCTTTATTGGCTTACTGGTTACTCAGAAGGCCAAACAACACTGTTCTACCAATCCCAAAGGATCGGACACATTACCTCCCAGGATAATGAATGTTTCAGTTCTTACCCAAATACATACTACAGCCAATTCTTATTAACTAAACCAGGGGAGGGCAAACTACGGCCTGCAGGCCCAAACCAGCCCATCAGCGCTTTCAATCCGACCAGCAGAATTGTCAGCCCTGTTGTGTGGTGGGGCTAAGACAGGCTCCCTGCGTACCCTGGCCCCACGCCGCTCCTGTAAGCAGCCAGCATCATGTCTCTGTGGCCCCTGGAGGAGGGAGGGAGGGGCGAAGGGCTCTGTGTGCTGCCCTCGCTTGCGGGTACCACCCCCGAAGCTCCCAGCCAATGGGAGCTGCGGGGGAAGAGGGGCGGTGCCTGCAGGTGAGGGCAGCGCACAGAGCCCTCTGCCCCACCCCACCCCCAGGAGCCACTGCCGGACATGCTGGCCACTTCTGGGAGTCGCACGGGGCCAGGGCAGGCAGGGAGCCTGCCTTAGCCCCACTGCGTGCCGCTGCCACCCCCGAGCTGCTCAAGGTAAGCAGTGCTGGGCTGGAGCCCACACCATGAACCTCTCCTGCACCCTGCACCACAACCCCCTGCCACACCCCTGCTGCACCCCAACCCCCTGCCCTAAGCCCCCTGCTGCACCCCACACCCCTCCTGCACACAACCCCCTGCACTGAGCCCCCTCCTGCACCTCAACCCCTTGCCCTGAGACCCTTCCTGCACACTGCACCCCTCTCCTACACCCCACTCCCTCCCGCACCCCAACCCCCTGCCCCAGCCCTACATACAATTTCCTCATCCAGATGTGGGCCTCAGGCCAAAAAGTTTGCCCACCCCTGAGCTAAACTAAAATTTATTAAAAAACAAAAGAGAGAGCGTATGGTTAAAAGATCAATATACATACAGACATGAGTTGAATTCACTGAGGTTCAGATTCATAGCAGACAAGGTGAGCTTTGTAGTTACAAAGAGTTCTTTCAAAAATAGTTCATAGGTTATAGTCCAATGTCAAAATATTATATTTAGGGCGTACCAGCATAACTGGGACCTTGCAACTCAAACTTCTCCCAATAAAGCTTGAGCAGACCTGAGATGACAGAATCAGGACCCAAGGATATTTTATACCAGTGATATTCAAACTTTTTTTCTGGGGACCCAGTTGAAGAAAATTGTTGATGCCCATGACCCAATGGAGCTGGGGATGAGGGTTTGGGGTGTGGGAGGGGCTCAGGGCTGGGGCAGAGGGTGGGGATGTGGGGGTGAGGGCTGTGGGGTGGGGCCAGGAATGAGGGGTTCAGGGTGTGGGAGGGGTCTCTGGGTTGGAGCTGGGGGTTGGGGTGCAGGAGGGGGAGCAAAGTTTGGGGGCTCAGGGCGTGGTCAGGGGACTGAGGCACAGGGTTGGGGTGAGGACTTACCTCCAGCCACCCCTGGTCAGCTTCCCACCTGATCTGGCACCACAGATTGTGCTGCACCCCGGAATTGTCAGCAGCAGGTTGAGCTCCTAGGTGGAGGCATGCAAGCAGCTTCGCGTGACTCTTGCCCGCAGGCACCACCCCCATCTCCTCCCCAGCTCCCATTGGCCGCTTTCTGGCCAATGGGAGTGCGGAGCCAGTGCTTGGGGCAGGGCAGGGCATGGAGCCCCATGGCCCCCCTGCCTAAAAGCTGGACCCACTGCTGGCCACTTCCAGGGTGCAGCGTGGTGTCGGAAAAGGTAGGCACTAGCCTGCCTTAGCTGGACAGCACCATTGATGGGACTTTTAACATCCCAGTTGGCGGTGCTGACCACTGTCTGACATGCCATGACCCAGTATTGGGTCACGACCCACGGTTTGAAAAACAGTTTTATACAATTTCATGTCTTTTGGCATGTTGGAGTTCAAAAAGTAATTAGAATGACTCTGAAGGAGGTCCATCACCAGCACTTAGCTATAGAATTAACATAAGGCAGTTTGCTTGTTCCTCCACCATTCACAGATTATTTGCTATACATTTCAAAGACAGAGGAATACAGAGATATCCCTTGTTTACAATTCATTTAAATTATAGGATGTTCTTTTGACCTCTGAATTATCAGAATACAGCATAGACAGGGACTGTATATTACATTGTTGACCCTACTCATACATATGTAAAAACACAAACATTATCTCCCCACATGTTCTTTGAGGGTTATTTATTTTGCAGGATGTTTAACCCTTTCTAGCCATGTGTCACACCTGCATTCCATTATAAACCACATCAGTTTGGTTTAACATTGTTTCTGAAATATCACTGACATTCAAAGAAATGTCACTTGTTTTCACATGCCCCCACTTCTGTTAGAGTGTTTACAGCTGTTTCTGAACACGACAATGGCACATGGGCTGTGAATACCATTATGTTGGCAGTGTGCCCAATATTGAGCAATACTATCCAAAAGATTGCTTCTCAGGATTTTCCTCTTTGCCTGCTTTCCTGAGCAGTTTATGATCTCAGATATGAGGAAGGCAGCACCCACACAGTATGGTGGGGATAAAGGTTAATGCACTTGCCTTACATTCTGCTGATCAAATGAAAATGCGTTTGGTGGTCTCTCATGTTAGCTTTCATTTGAAGATATCACAAAACCTCCACAGTTGGCTGATTCTTCCCAACAGATGTTCAAGACTAGAATAGCAGGAGGCTGTGCAGGTGAGGATTGAAGTATACAGTCACAGCTGGGTAAGGAAGTTTACACAGTGCCAGTACTATGGCTGGCTTAAACTAGTGTTATTATTTCCTCCTTTTCATAAGCTCTGCATTCATACACACACACACACAAACTTTTTTTAAAAAAAGGAGAGAGAGTGACTCAACAAGGAAAGGTATCTCTTGCAGCTGCTGCAGATTTACAGGTAGGTACATGGTGAATTTTTGTAAAATAGCAAGACAAATTTTTCTTCCACAGGATATTCTTTGCACTCCAGCTGTAACTGTAACTTGTGGCAGAAATAGTTACACACTTAATCCAAGGGATTTAAACTCTTCAGTGTATAACCCACATGTGAATGTACACTGAACTATTTTCCATTATAAAACCATTACAAGAAAAATACCAGAGAGAGAAGGGATGATCTAGTGTTTAGGGTGCTAGCCTGGAATTCAAGGGGCCTATTCAATTCCCTACTCTGCCTTAGGCCTCCTGTGTGACCTTGGGTAAGCCACTTAGTCTCTTTGTGCCTCAGTTCCCTATCTGTAAAATGGGGGTAACAGCACTGCTCTACCTATGAAGGGTTGTGAAAATAAATACAGTAAAGATTAAGAGGTGTTCAGGTACTACCATAATATAAGTACTTTAAATAGCAGAAACATTCCACTACAAAAAAATCACAGAAATCTGTCCACCTGTTTGCCATCAGCTACTATTCTATAAACTATAGCATATTTAAGTATGTACCTCATATCTGCCTGCTTCCATTTTGTAAGGGAAAATGATGCAGAAAGTTACAAAGACAACGCACACTGTGCTCTCTCAGTACGTGACTTTTGTCCTCCCTTTCCCCCCATAATCTAAAAGAAAAGTAATTCAAAACAAATGTATATGACTGCTCCTTGCATATGAAAAATGATAACATGCACTTTGGTAACCTTCATGTAATCTGTATGTGCTGGGAGATTGAATGTGATTTTCATGCTGATCTTGTAATGGGATGTTTTTGTGTCTTGCTGTTTCCTTTAGAAGCAAATGACTTGTGGCTGGAAGATCTCACAGTGTTGATGGTGTTATGTTATGTTCTGGCCACAGAACAGGTTAACACAGGACCATTTTAACTGAGTGTACTTAGGTCATTTTAAAGGACTCCATAGTGCTAAGAACTTTAGGCTCAGTGATCTGAGCTAATTTTGAGCTCTGATGTGTATAATAAGTAGATTGTAGTTTTTGATAGATACTGAAACATTTCTCTGTTAATAAAGGGACAATATTTTCCCATTGGCTCTGTAACTGTCTAAGGATTTAATCCAGCGAAGTGCCAAGTACAAAAGCAACCTCAAAGGATTGGTTAACAAATATTTAACCTTTTTACTGAGTCCACAGGTTAAATGTCATTGCTAAAACCCAGCCCCTGTTAAACATAAAACAGATCCGCTGCAATTCTCAGGAATCCCAGTATTCTTCATATATTTATTGCACTGAATGGTCCTGGTCTTCATGAATACCATAGTTACTCTTCTGATTGATGTTGTATAAAATGTATAAATTCTGAAAACTTTAGCTAAGTTTCAAAAGTTTATTTATTCATCCAAACCTTAAGAATTTTTCCTCTCTCTTCCCAGTCCCACCCCTTTTTTATTGCTTAAGTGTTCTATATTTTTGCAAGTATCTGAAGAGTTAAAAAAAAAAAATAACCAGGAGGGAGAAGGAATATTCTGATTGTCCCATGTAATGAAACAAACCAATGTAGAACTGTAGCTTTCAGGACCTGTCTCCTAACAGTGAAGTCCATTGCCTCATCCTCTCCACAGCTGACTATATTCCACTGGTGAGTAAAACTGAACGATCTCTATGTATTTAGTTGTACTTTGTAACTGTGTAAAGCATTCTGAATCTTCTGAAAGGTGCAATACAAATTGAAACACAGTAGCAAATTATTCTACAACAGTCATCCTCAACATAGGGTAAAAACTCAGTTTCTCAAGTATTTAAAAGTAGACTAGTAAACACTTAAGAATATTTTACAGGGAACTACCTACTACCTCCCTATTTTATAGGGAACTACTAACTGTGCTAGCAATAGACAGAATGACCTAAGAGGTTATTTCTACATTTAATTTCTTAGGGTTTAAGTCTGATACTTTACCATCAAACCAGACACTGTCCTTTCTGGTTTCTGAAAGTTTAAAGCCAACCTGAGTAAGGCAAATAGCAATTTGTCCTTAGTATATATTTTTCAATTATTGGGCATGATTCCCTGTATTATGGATTAGTTATCTGAACAAGAAAGCAGTCTGGATCACCTGATGGCAATTATGGGTAGAAGATGAGCAACTAAAGTCGTACAGTTGTCTAATAACCCAAACTAGCATTTGAGAAGTGAAACCCTCAAAATTGTTTTAATGCACTCACCCACCTAAACACTCTCATCACCCATAGTTTGAGGGTAAGTAGGTCCCCTAATGTTACCCCATTACCAATAGATTCAACAGCAGAGAAGGTTGTATTTAGTGTGGAGAGGGGACCAATGGTGTTAGACATGAAGATGAGAAAGAGAATGTGTGTCTGCGTGCATGTGTGTGTGTTTGAGTGTATATACATACATATATATATACACACACACAGTCTCTCTCTCTCTCTCTCTGGGTAAATATATATATATGTACACACACACACACACACACACAAGAACAGCCATACTGGGTCAGGCCAAAGCTCAATCCACCCAGTATCCTGTCTTCCAAGGGTGGCCAATGCCAGGTGCCCCAGAGGGAATGAACAGAACAGGTAATCATCAACTGATCCATTCCCTGTCGCTCATTCCCAGCTTTTGCCAAACAGAGGCTAGGGACACCATCCCTGGCTAATAGCCATTGATGGACCTCTCCTCCATGAATGTATCTAGTTCTTTTTTGAACCCTGTTATAGTCTTGGCCTTCACAACATGCTCTGGCAAAGAGTTCCACAGATTGACTGTGTGTTGTGTGAAGAAATACTTCCTTTTATTTGTTTCAAACCTGCTGCCTATTAATTTCACTTTGTGCCCCCTAGTTCTTGTATTATGAGTAAATAACACTTCCTTATTTACTTTCTCCACACCAGTCATGATTTTATGGACCTCAGTCGTATCCCCCTTAGTTGTCTCTTTTCCAAGCTGAAAAGTCCCAGTTTTATTAATCTCTTTCTACACGCGCTCAAAAATTATTGAGAAGTTAATGTAAGGAAAATCAGAAACCAAAAATTAATGAAGATGCAGCAAGAAACGAAGAGAAAAGCAGAGGATAAGAAGAGAAAGTAGGAAAAAATAAAGTTACCAGGAGGACAAGACTATCTGTTACTATTAGGTATAAAAAGTTTTTTCCCCCTTTTGGGAGCGTGGGTGGATAAGAGGATTTGCAACATTTTAAATCTAAGATGTAGTGCCTGTTTGGCTATTTTTTTTGTGGGGAGGGGGAGGGAGGAAGGGAATGAGGAAATGAATTTCCCAATTGCAGACAAAAAGAAGGTAGATAGCAAAGGGGAGACATGCTCTCACCATTCACAGCTACTTCTGTTTTTTGGAGATCATTCCTACTTTCCATTTGAAAAGTTGGCACATGTTAGGTTGCATTTACCAGCTCTCCAAGGGCTTGATCTGGCACCACTCAAGTTCTGCCATTGATTTCAATGGGCGCAAGAGTAGGCCGTGAGCAAGGTCTCTTCTGTATGTGCTAACCACAGCAAATATATTACGCTTTTTCATCCTGTACTCAGGGACTGAACTCTTCTCATCCAGTACGCCTCCCTACAAACATAAAATGAAGGGCAAGTGCCACACAGCTACAGTGGTAACATGTTAGTAGCAATGTAGTATCTCCTGACAAGGGAGACACCCACAAGCCATTTACAGTGCTAGTAACAAGCCTATGTCATTACTACAGGAAACAGCATACTATAGCATCCCCCAATCACAGAACTACACAATACTATCAACTCTCTTTAATATTTGAAGGAATAAGAGCTACCACGTTCCTTCAGCATAGGAAAGGGGAAAATATGGTGATAAGAATACTTACCTAACTGGAAAGGGAAAGAGGAAGATGCAGCAAGCAGCAGCCAGTTGCAAAATGGCCACTTTAGGGCTGCAGCTGCTGGGATCTGCCAAATTTAAAGGGCCAAACCCGGAGAGACAGGTTAGGAAAATGAAGGCCCTTAAAAGGGCAAGTCTGAGGTTGGGAATGTTACTGGAACCCATCAAGGGAAATAACTGTTGTTCGGCTGTGCAGGCTACCACTATATTGCCAAGGGAGAACACTGTCTTTTTTGTGTATCTGAGAATGACACGACTGCTTTTGCTAGCCCAGGCTTTTTGATGCATGGTAATTTATTTGCTGTGTTATTCTAGAAATCCAAATGAAAATCAGACAGGCTTTCCCTTTTGGTTTTTGGCTTTATTAGATGAAAATCATGGTCTATATATTCTAAAGTTAGGACCTTGATTTTGACGCTTCAGAATTTTCCCGGGGAGGACCCCAAGCCCTCCTGTGTATAACCCACACTTTCTTCACCTGGCTATTGGCCTGTGTTCCACATACCTCTGATCAAAGGTATAATGCTGATGCCATATTCTGCCTCCCTCAGTCATGCTGACTAGTACCTTGCATAGTAACTACGCAAATACTCTCAATCATTCCTATAGGAAAGGCAGCTAAATGGAGAAATGGGAGAAGAATGAGGTTGGAGATAGGGCTTCGACTCAGGGCACAGGAGCTAATTTTCTGATCTAATATTGAATGTCCTGTGGTATAGTAGTTTTGACTCAAATCATGCAATCTCATACCTGTGAGCAGATCCCTCTGCCCACACAGACCTTCGTTTGCTTCAAAGCACTTTCTTTGCAGGATCAAGGCCATTGCTTAGAAATAAAGCACCTCAAATTGGCCAGACAGCATTTATATCCACAAACCCATTGTTTCTTTTCCCTTTGTCCTCTGGTTGGGTTTTAAGGAGAACTACATGCCGCTCAACAGTTTCACTCTCTGGGAGTTTGTTTCAACCGCTCTTTGATTGCAGTCTGAATGGGTTTGCAACCCCAGGCTTTGTTTTGAATTTCAAGATGAAGTGTTAACCTAAAGCCTTGAATCAAAACTCAGTCAAAATGACCAACTTTCACACTGAGAAACTGTACAAAAACCAATGTATTTTCTGTGCCTTTGTTGCAAAACCATAAATTAGCTCAGGTTCATCAAAATGTATGCAAATTGTAGTAAATCTTTTGACAACCATTGTTTGAGTTTATGAAGATACCTGAAACTATGTGAGTTTTGAGCTTTATGGGGAACATTTCAGACAATTCTAGTTTTACCTTACTTTTCCCCTTATGTATTTGTGCTTTCTTTATTTTTTTTTCTATTTACTCCCTGCACATATATACAAATATCAGCATATGAATTGTCTTATTTGTGGTTTATTTTTGAGAAAAAATATTTAATTCAAAAGGAGAAAAATGTTTTCTAACGTTCAAATGCATCGTGTCATGATACTCAGCATAAGTTTTCTGTAAATTCATTTCATCTACAGCAAATGACTTAGAGGTGGCCTAAAATGCTTAAGTAATATGCCAGCTTAACACACTGCATCATGTTTCCATCTAGTGGCTAGGCCCAATGACTATAAGAACCTATACTTTCTAGAGAGCTAAAGAAGTGCTGCTTTAGCTAACATTGTAGATGTTGCTTTTCATGCTGAAGGTCTTGGTTCTGATCCCCGCTAATCTATCCACCATAATGTCTGTATGTGGCCACAGTTTGTTATACTAAATTTGGATCTGGGGTGCTCAAGTCTGAGGTATTTCCTCAGGCCCATCTCTAGTTTTAGTTTAATAAAAACTATATATATATTTCTAAGTGTACAAATCCTATTGCCCATTTGTACTGGACAAAAATGAACTGCTAGACAATATGGCTGAAAAATTACTCAGATATCATGACTGCACAGACCAAGATCTTAAAGTTACTGCTGTTTTACAAAGCCTTATATTTTCCCAGCAATTTAAAAAAAAAAGGTGTTGTAACAGAGGCAAATCAGCATCTCTGCTCTCTCTACCCTGTATATATGATATGGTATTTTCCACATTTTTTTTTATTTTTTTTTCCTCACTAGGAGTCACTCACCTGTTATTATATTTAAATGGTTTGTCATGTCAATCTCCTTAAAGGAATACCAAGTAAATAAATAAAATAAAATTCTACCACTGGTGAAAATGAGGATTTGTACAAGATTCCTGAGCTGCTCCCAAAACACATGCAATTGGGTGCATTAAACATTAAAAAGCTTTGGCTGATGGAAAGAGAGAATGTTCACAGCCAGCACAAAGAAACTTGAGTTTTCAGGAAGTAATCTCAAAATATGAGATGCTCATAATATTTGGAAGATAAGAAAAAAGCAACAACTAGATTTAAATGGCAAAGATGGAGGAGAACAATGAAAACTAAAAAAGTCTATTGATTCACCCTCTTCTCCCACCCCCCACCCCCATCTGCAGAAGCTGAAGCTGTTATTTGGTTAGTACAGTGCACTTGAGTGGTTTCACTTCCATCCTAACTAGTTCTGTACACTGGAATCAGATCAAAGAAGGAAAGTGTCATGCACTTTACACATGAAGTCCCCCCTTTTCTGCTTAGGATAAACAGGAGAAGGAAGACAATATGCTAGTTATCTTGGGGAAGATAAGCAAGACAAAAGCTTTCTTATTCACAGAATCATTAAACGGATACTACAATAATTAAAGAAGAAAGAACTACAATGCATACCCTTGGGCTGAACCATGAAACATCTGACTCAAGCCAA